TCTACCCACACTGGCCCCAGACTCCTGCCTTAGCCTCCTGAGCGTTAACATTACACGGTTGCACTCCTAACCTGACCTTAAAGTCTTTCAATTAAGGAGTCTAGATTCTACAGTCTAGCCATGAGCAAGGGTGGTTGCATGATGGGGCTTCTCAGCACGAAAGGTACAGGGTGGGTTCAGCCTCACGCCCCAACTGGACCTCCACCTCAGCAGATCACTGCCCTTTATTGCAACAAAGACTGCTTCCCTTCAGATTTCCTATGATGATTACAACTAAAACTTTAGCCAGTTTTATACAGTTTGACATTTGGAAAAGAATTCCAAAGTCAGGCATGGTGGTGTGCTTCTTTAATCCCAGAAGCTGGGCAAGTGGGTATCTGTGAGCTCAAGGCCAACCTGGTCTACATAGGGAATTTTAGGTCAACCAGGCCTACACAGTAAGACCCTGTCTAAAACAACAGTCTCGGGTCATTTCATTTAAATATTTCACTGTACAAAAATAAGGAAACTAGAGAAGAGATGACTTATATAGAAAAAAGCAATAAGATATGAAATAAGATTTTATACAGTGCAGGACAGAGTGGAAACATTCGTCAATGGCTGGACAGTGGTGGTCAGGCCATGGCCAGACCAGGATTTTGCCTGTGGTTTAAACCTAAGACTCATGTCAAAACCATGAAGATGGGAAGATAGGGTGGGCGGAGGGGGGATGATGTACCAGACCTCATTTGTTCTTTCCAATGTGAAGGCAGGAGGATGGGGCGGAGAGAGGGTACCAGACCTCATCTGTTCTTCCCAATGTGACGGCACTGAACGAATGACCTTTCTCTGCATGTCACTTTAATTGTTGTGATGAGAACAGGAGGCTGGTGGCTCAGCCTGACCTGTTAGAACTTTCCAGGCCCAGTCTTTGACTTAACAGCTCTACCTGAAGAGGCACAAGTGATACAGAAGGAGTAACAGGACAACCGCAGTTCCCAAAGGACGCGTACAGTGAGGCTCTCTGCTGCACAAGGAGCACCTCAGCAGCTGCCTGGAACCCCAACCAACGCCTACAGGGCACAAATCTGCCCCGGGCTAAAGATCACTGACCTAAGGCCCCTGAAGATCTGAACGGACACACAGACACTTGCCCACTGAGGTGTCATCTCTAGGAAACAGTGCTGCAGGAACAGATGGAGACTTGGGTCCTCAGAGGCTGTCATTCCCCATGGGCAGCTTGTATTGAGAATACAACCTTAGGGAGAAATGAACTGGGTACTTGTGGTTGAGGTGGCCAGGAACAAAGGAAGGCTAAAGAAATGACCCATTTCTTCTGGCAGAAGCAGGAACCTCAAGAGCAGAACTGAGTGATGTCAGGTGACTGAGGAAGCAAGGGGGCCAAGCAGGGAGCGAAATGGTGACAAGCAGAGAAAGTGAGAGGAGGGGGTGCCTGCCACAGAGTGTCCTCGGGCCCAGGGCTCCGACAGAAGTGAATGTCTCACTCAGGAATGGAGTGACTTCGCAAAACTTCACAGACTGGGGATGAAGAAAGATCCCCCAGGTAGAAAGAACACAGTCGTTTTTTTTTTTAAAGGACTCACTGCCCTCTTCCAGTAAACTGACCTCATTAAATCTTTCATCTTTAAAATGGGGGTTTATCTTTAAGAGGGAAGATGAAGAAAGTCTCTGGTTACTTCAAAGCATGTGAATTCCCCTGCTTCGCCATCCTCCCTCCAAATACCAAACACAAAACTGCTAGCCGAGACCATCCACTCAAGAGACACGGGTCAGCCGTGGAGAAACTTGGGGATACTATCATTAAATTTTCTCTCCGTGGACAGAGTTCTCACGTGTCTACTCCAGTTTCCATCTGTAAACCACAGACAGTTTGCTCTTTAAGACCTCTGCAGTCATAAAAAGGCCGTGAGAAGCAGTTACCACTTCTCTTAAGAAGTGGGAAGACATGGGAGAAATCAAAGTATAGCAGAATTAGAAATAATCTCCGAGCTAAGGAATTTCAGCTTCACCTTTCAGAGTTTCAGATTTTGACAGCATGAAGAACAAGATTATCACTGTCTTCCTACCAGGCTCAGAGATCGAACGGAGGCCCTTAGCATGCTAGGCAAGACTCTGCCACGACGCTGCAACCCCAGTCCAGCTGACAGGTTATTTTTGCTACTCGTCATTTCTGCAGCTGCTAGAAGAACCAAAGGTGTTAAAGAGTTGTGTCTTCCTGATTTTTCCTGGAAAATTCATAAGAGCAAGAGAGTCCACATAATCAGTGTCTAGGAAAGCATTCCCACAAGCACTCCTAGAACGGAAGAGGAAAAGGCAGGGAAGGGTGTTAACGTGACACAGATGGTATTGACAGCCACCCTCCCCCCACACACACACGTATGGTATTGACAGGCACGCATGCACACACACACATACATGGATGGTATTGACACACATACACAGAGATGGTACTGACAGACACAGACACATACATACACACACACAAAATGGAATTACAATGTTTGTGTCCCAGTGGCACAGAAAAAGAAACCAACAAGCCCCTCACAGTAAAATCCTTGGCCAGAAAAGATGCCTGTCTGTCAGCCTGTTCTGTAAGACCCATCCCAGCACCAGAGATGTTAAGACGTGGTCCCCTAAACAACTGAGGTTTTGGGGTCAGCTTGGAGGTGGATCAAACTGGTAGCACATACTGGGTCCTGTGCGAACCCCAGCACAGTAAAAAGCAAGCCACTGGCTTGAGAAGCGAAAGATGAGCGTGAATGCCAGCGAGGCTAACTAGACCTGGGGACACCAAAGAGCTTTCCTACGTCAGAGCCCACATTTGTCAAACCAACCAGGATGGGTCCTAGTCTCTGACAATTCCACTCAACAAACAGCTGCTTTGTTTCAGTTATAGTTTAACTAAATCATTGCTGTTATTGTCTGTTATTTATTATTGTAGTTGCTGTTTTCCTTGTTGTTTGTAACAAAGTCTATGTGACCAAAGCTTGCCTCAAAATTACCACCTTTCTGCTCAGCATCCCAAGGCTGCTCAGCATCCCAAGGCTGGTCTCTCAGGCTCTACCCTGGATCACAGATCCATGTTTTCAAACCACAGACTGAAAGCACTTCGCAGGAGTATTGCTGAGCCTGTGGGAAAATGGAACACAGCAGGACCAGAGGGGATGCAAGCACACTGCAAGGTGCTTCTAGCCCTGATAAGAACTCTCTTTTCATCCAGCCACTGGCTCTGCTCCCAGTCTCCACTTAAGAACATCTGCCCACTGCCTGAGCCTCATTGCCTTCACCTCTGCCTCCTGACGGTGTTTGGATACAAGTCAAAGGATAGCTTCTTGTTTTGATTCCGTCCAATCTGTCTGAGTAGGATACCTTAGATTGGTCCTCTCTGCCTGCACAACCAACCTGCTTATTAAGAAAGTACATACTGGAAAAAAGTCACACAAGCTTTTAAGATCAAGCCCAAGTCCCTCCCTCTTTTCAATTTGTAAACTCGCGTACTTATAGGCACATGAGTGGGGTTTCAGTGATCTAGTTATTTGCTTGTTTTTTAACGAATTTCATTAATTTCACCACCCGAAAGGCTTCAGACTGCTTCTAGGAACCGCGGAGATGGTTTGTAGAAGTTTGCAGGGCGCGGCCACTCACACCTGCCGCTGCTGTGGCAGAGAACAGTGAGAAGTGGCCACACACTTGCAACTAGGAACACAGTGGAGGTGAGGAAGAGCAGGCAAGAGCTAGAAGATGCAGGCAAGCCTTGCTGGGAACTGAGAGGCCCGGAAGTTGCTCACCTGCCGCTCTGCCCTCTCCACGTTCCCACAGTGTTACTGACAGCTCTGACTTCCCCACTGTGGGCACTGCTCTGATCCACAGGAGTCTACAAGCTAGAACAAGGACATCCTTTAAGGGCTGGGTACCGGGGAAGCCCAGAAGTCCCAGTGGGTCACAGACAGGGGAAGTGAGAAAAATGAGAAAAAAGCTTCCTCATGACCCATGTTCCTGCAGACAGTACTAACAGCTGCCAACTGCTAGTGGTCAGGGTTTGCCTGTAACTGTCACCAATGGTCACTTTCTGAAAGTCCAAACTATATCTCAAAGGTGGTAATCAACTGTAACCAAGAGCTGAAGCATGTTGCATTAGCACACACCTGTTGTCTGCAACTACCAACCCCCCCCCAGTCAAGTTTGCAAAAGACCTTCCAGTTTGTATCCCTGACTGACTGTTTTCTAAGTTTCCCAAGCTCCACTGCTTAAAGAGAACAAAATGTAACCAATTCTTCACAGTAAGGAAATAATTAACTTCTTCTGGGAAAGCCTAGCTGCTTCCTTGACTCAATACAGAGGAGCTTATTTAGCTGTCTCCTCTCGCTGGCCAGCAGTAGAATCCTCCCTGCAAGGCTGAGGCTGCACCTTCGCCTCCATTTCTGTTGGATTCTACCTTGGGATGCCCTGACCCAGTCAACTCTGACGGCCGTGACCAGGTTGATGCCACCATGTGGAAAGGAACAACTGCTTCCAATGGTATGGAGATTCTTGATTTTTCCTTTCTGGATACTCTGTAGTCTGGATATTTGTCTAAATGGATCTTGGTCTTCCAAAACAAAATCCAGGACAACTACCACCAGCTCTTGAATGAGGCTGAGTGTTGTGGATGCCTAAGCATCCTTCACCAAGACAAACGAGCCCGATTTTAGAACTGTGCAGGTTATTCGAACCCAGGGTCTTCAGACCCCTCCATATGTCATCAGCTCCGCACCATTTGCTATCATTTATGCATCCACAAACCTCTGAAGAGCACAGAAATGGGGCCAGCTTTAAAATCCAACGTCCCACTCTCCATAGTTAGCAACCAATTGCCTCTCCGTGCTGAACCAAAACAGGGTGATTAGTCAGAGCATGGCAGCACCTTGGTCCACTTTCACACTAATCTGGAAGTCAGGTGAACCCCAAGTCACATATGGGTCCAATCATAGGAAACAGAACTATACAAAACCAATAGTTACCAAAGCTCTGCCTAGGCGAACCAGGCGGTGACGTGTTCCCTCTGGGAGACAAGTAGAGGTAGTTTTTGTTCACTCCGGAATCGAAGTCAAACGGGGAGCGGTAGTCCTCATACAGATCCGTATCTCTAGAATCCATTCCAGAGGAAGACAGAAAGCATGGCGCTGCGGCTGCCTGGAACTGCTCCTCAGGCCTGGCACGCCTGGGCCACGGGTCCCCTGGCACCGTGCAGCCCCGGTGAGGGAAAGAACTGGTGTTTGGAGTCCCGCCCAGCTCTGGCCCAGGTGTGGCTTCACACCCTCACAAGCAGATCTTTTAATGGCTCCTCCCAGCACCCTCTGGAGGGCCTACTCACCACCTGCTGCCAATTTCAGTGGACAAAGAACAACCTGGGTGGAGGGCGTGTCGCTTTGCTCTGTACACAAAGGAGGGCCCGCTCTGCAGCCCCACTCAGAAGGACAAACACTAGATAATGGCAGGATTATTTTTTTAAAAACATTTTTTTTAGACTGGTCAGCTGACCACATCCTCACTAGGCAGACTTAATCTTCTAGGGCAAGGAAGGATTATCTGTCAGTAATCTCCAGCAAATGCCATCCGGGCCACACTTTCCTTGCACCCTATATCACAGGATTCCAAAAGCCTGGGGTCCCGGGTTAGCAACCAGCTTTCTGAGCATAACATGATACAAAAGCAAAGCTAAATTCCTACCTTCACTTTTTCTAAAGCAGAATCCAAGTCACTGTCTGTCAAAATTTTAATATGACTCTTTTTGGAATGGCGCACTGAAAAGACATAAAGCCGCTCTGAAGGTAGAGTTGGTTCCTTCTGTGCTCCCCCTGTATTCCCACTGTGCTCTGTTGTGCTCCCCCTGTGCTCCCCCTGCATTTCCACTGTGCTGTCATGCTCCCCCTATGCTCTCCCTGTGCTCCTCCTACATTCCCACCATGCTGTTGTGCTCCCCCTGCATTCCCACTGTGCTGTTGTGCTCCCCTGTGCTCCCCTGGTGATCCCTATGTTCCTCCTGTGCTCCCCCATGTGCTCCCCTGGTGATTCCCTATGCTCTCCCTGTGCTCCCCCATGTGCTCCCCCCATGTGCTCCCCTGGTAATCCCCTATGCTCCTCCTGTGTTTCCCTGGTGATCCCCTATGCACCCCCTGTCCTTTCTCTGTGTTCCGGCACCTTCTTTATTTATGTAAGGTCATGCCCTGTGGGGGTTCTACAAAAAAAAAAAAAAGAGCTTCCTTTAGCACACCCACCTGGCAGCCATGGTGGGAGGGAGCCATGGTGAACTTGTAAAACTTTTCAAACACCAAGTTCATTTCCTCCATCACAGGCTTCTAGGTAGAATCTTTCCATACTCATAGAGGCCTTTGCTGTGGTTCCAACAGCCCTCCAAGCCCTTGCTGGAACTAGTGTTAAAAGGGGGAAATACGCCAGGTGGTGGTGATTGCGCACGCCTTAGTCCCAGCACTTAGAAGGCAGAGGCAAGAGGGTCTCCAAGTTCAAGGCCAGCGTGGTCTACAAAGTGAGTTCCAGGACAGCCAGAGCTATACAGAGAAACCCTGTCTGGTTTGGGGGGGGGGGGGCCCGGCGGGCAAGAGAGGAGAAACGGGAGGGAGGAGGAGAGGTGGAAGGAAGCAAAAGAGAAAGAAAAAAAAACAAGAAAAAGAAGGGGAAATATGTAAAGTCAGGCACGGTGGTTCATGCCATAATCACAACACTCGGGAACCTGAGACAGGATTGCCACAAAACTAGCTTGAACTATAGTGAGAGACTGCGTCTCAAAACAACAAAATACTAACTGAACAACACTAAAACAAACAAGTAATCATACCTTTTCAAGCTCCAGTGCATAATCTCTGAAATATATGTATAATCTCTGAAAAGCAGCTATAGATCCAGAAGTGTTTTATGTAATTTAGGTGTGGGCTTGAGTGTAAACATCAGCTGCGCATGCTCGCGGGAACCCCGGGGTCAGAACAGGCTACAGCTGCGCATGCTCGCGGGAACCCCAGGGTCGGAACAGGCTACAGCTGCGCATGCTCGCGGGAACCCCGGGGTCAGAACAGGCTACAGATCCCCTGGACCTGGAATGCCAGACAGCATAAGCCAGTGTGTTCATTCTGGGAACTGAACCTGGGTCCTCTTAACCCCTGGGTCAGCCCTCTGGCCCCCAAACCCAAAATGTTTTAACTACTAGCAAAAAATTCATTGTATGCCTAGTGTACAAAAATCTATCTATATTCATCTCAATTTATGATTAATTTTCTTTTCTGTTCCTTTTGGCTAGTGTCGGAACACCTTTGTCTTATTTCAACTTTTTAAGAGTTTGTTTTTAACAAAAATATCTAGTTTCATTCTTAAAGATACCAAAACTTTGGCAGCTACAAATGCTGTTTGTTTGTTTGTTTTATATTTGAAACTGATTAAATACTTTTTAAATATTAATTGAAATAATGAACTCTCGCAGCCAGGCACAATAGCTCATACTTGTAATCCTAGAATCCGAGAAGCTGAACAGGAGGATTCCCACTAATTAAAGGCTAGCATGGGCTAAATAACGAGTTTCGGGCCAGCTCAGGCTATTAGTGGGATGCTGTGCAAAACCAGGTTTGCTGCAGTCCGTGATGTCATTCACTCTGACAGGACACAGTCAGAGTTGTGCCCCTGGAAAGGACACTGCCATAGAGTGTCTGCTTTCACCTCTCTGGGGCCACAGCTGTTTAAGGGTTAACTAACACTGCCACAGATGCAACCCAAGCTGCCGCCTCATCTCTCACCAGCCCACTGCAGGCCATGCCCCACCCCCCTGGTGACCTTCAAGCTGCATCCAGCACCAAAGTGCGGCACTTTGTTGCTGCAGGCTGACACCAGGCGTGCTGCAGGCTGACATCGTCAGTCCTTCAGGCCTTGGCCTCCGCTCGGAAGTTCCTCCTGGGCTTGCCACCCTTCCCCAGGCACAGCACATGTGTGGGAAGCATTCAGCTGCCGGCCAGACCTCATCTCTACAGCCGCACCCTATAGAGAGACCTCTACTCTCTGCTGACCCTGCCCTGGATATGAGGCTTCTCATGGGCGATGAATAAAAACACCCTTGTTTTCAAATATGAGGGCTAAGCTCTATGTAACTGTCTTAAAGCCTGACTCTCTACCTGCCAAGTCCATTTTTAGGTCTGGGTTTTGAATCCCAGCTCAGGGAAACAATTCTCCTTCCTATTACCTCAGAGACCTAGTCCAGATGGTCCAGCCTTGAGAACATTGAAAACAGCCTGAAGAAAAACAGGGGTGGGTTCCTCGAAAGGCAGATTCAATTTCTAGTTGGGCGGAGGGGGGGTGGTGTTGAAAAAAATGAAAGAACAGAAATGTAGCTTGGGAATCAACCAGTTTAAAAAAAAGCGGAATGATGAACCTTTACATTCACTATGTACTTTCTTTTCAAACTTGGGGGTTATGAAGCAGCAAAAGTAAATATTAGGAGATGGGGTGTAGCTGAGTAGAAAGCACTGGCCTATCATGTGTGCAGCCCTGGGCTGGATGGATGGATGGATGGACGGACGGATGGACAGATGGACAAAGAGATGGATGGAAATGACAGATAAATGAAGGACTGTTCAATGTTATAAAGGCCACTTTGGAAAGGAAGCATACAATGCAATGGAGACATACAGCAGGGACAGGAAAGGACATGCAGAGAGGATCCTACGATCATCCAGGAAGGAACAGGGAAGTCTCCAGGACACAGCAGGTCTTTTTGTTTCCTGTGTGGCTAACTGGCCCAAGGAAGACTTGGCCCCATGCAGTGGAAATTTCCACAGAGCTGTCCCAAAACTCCTTTAAAAATCAGCACTTGACACTCCTACATTGCTGATGGGAATGTAAACTGGTACAGTCCCTTTGGATGTCAGTGTAGTGATTTCTCAGAAAATTAGGAAACAATCTTCCTCATGACCCAGAAATACCACTTTTGGATATATATACACAAAAGATGCTCAATTGTACCACAAGGACATGTGTTCAGCTATGTTCACTGCAGCATTGTTTGTCATAGCCAGAACCTGGAAACAACCTAAATGCCCCTCAACCAAAACACAGATAAGAAAAATGCGGTACATTTATACAATGGAATGCTACACAGTAAAAAAAAAAAAAAAAAAAAAAAAAAGACATCTTGAAATTTGCAGGCAAATGGATGGATCTAGAAAACATCATATTTAGTGAGGTAACCCAGACCCAGAAAGACAAAGATCATATGTACTCCCTCAAAAGTGGCTTTTAGACTTAAAGCAAACTAGCCTATAATTCACAATCCCATAGAACCTAGACAACAATGAGGAACCTTATAGAGACATACATAAATCTAATGTACATGGGAAATAGAAAAAGTCAAGATCTCCTGAGTAAATTGGGAGCATCGGGACCATGGGAGAGGGTTAAAGGGGAGGGGAGCAGAGAAAAACATACAGCTCAATATAATCAATAAAAAATATGCTTATTAGAAAAAGTAAGTAGGCAGCTATGAAAACTTTTTGAACAATAAAAAATCAGCATTTGTGACGTTATTTCCCCCCAAATTCTCCACACCTGATCTCACGTGGATTATAGTAACGGAACATGGAGAGCTGTCCATGGTGAGCCCTGCATCCTCTCCTTCTCCCCCTGCCACCCCCTTCTCACTGCCTGCAGTGTTTCTGTGGCCCAGGGTGCCCATCTGCCTTGTCTGAAGATTCCAGACCGCCTAGCCCATGCGCTCTGTCTGAGAAGAGACCACCACAGACTCCACCCGTTCTCTGTCCTGTTTCACAGATGTCCCAGATACACAGTGTTGTTCAGAGGTATGCCTAAGAGCAGACACCTGACCCACGGAGCCCAGTCAGTGGTTGTCCTGATACTCACTGAGCAACAGAATACAGTGACATTCTCTAGAACCTGAACTGCCTGGTGCTGGTTTGGGTGAGAGGGGCCAGGGAGTCTTCCCTCCACATGCGGAGAGGGGAGAGAAGCGAGAAGCAGTGAGCAGACAGGGAAAGGACGGGGGAAGACACTAAGTTAGCGAGGGGAGGGCACCACATTGTGCGAGCCCTGCATGGAGCAGCAGTAGGCTCTACGGTGACCCGCAGAGTCTGCTCTTCTCTTGGGTTTGGAATCAAAAGCAAGGGCCCTGGAGTGGCCATGGAGTGTCTGCTTTCCAACTCA